TAGTAGTAGTAGTACTAGTAATAGTAGTTGTGTTGCCAGGCATAATAATAAGAGAGAGACAACATAACACAAACGCTTACAGCTTACATCTGTAGTGAACATTATGGATGTGTGGGGGATATAATATACAATGAGACTAGCCACGAACGTAGATACACTCTGGATGGAATAATAATAATAATAATAATAGTAAAAACGTGCACATACACAGGCTGAGATGAAAAAGTTAATATATTTCAGTGTGAGGGTACGTACGTACATTTATACATATATTTATCGCATATCCGTCTACACTACAATATAAGCCGAAGAAAACAGAAGCAAGCATGAGGTTCAAGCAATAGCAACAGACTACATATGTACGTATAACTATGCGAATAAACATGATGTTGTCAGACATAACATAAGACAAGCAAGCAACAAAAACAATGACTGCAAGCCACCAGCATAGCGAGCCACGACTTACAAGTTTAATGCTGTTGCCATTCCGGGCTGTTGACAACATGCAGGTGGTTGTATCGATGTGAGATCAACATAGCAACATCAGCTTAAACACATATGGAACGTACCATACCATGCCATAATAATACTAATGTGACTACTGCGCTTCTATCGCTATCTATCGAGATGCTGCTGCTTCTGTGAAAAAAATGCCTGACAATGTAAATTCTGTGTTATCCCCAGTTCGACCCCAACTTTGTTTCTTTATTTATATTATTTTCTAACATGATCCGTACACATTGGCGGCCCGCTTGCATTTATATGCAAGCGTATGCATGCTGCGTCCACAAAAGAAGTAAGTACTTCTTTTTTTTACAAAAAGCACGAGTGTGATTTCAAGGCATTTATGTATATATTGAAAATCTATTGGTTAAGATCGTATCCTCTGCAATATATGCATGCATGCATGTGTGCATGCATGCATGCATGCACACATCTATCTATTTACTTGTGTATGTATTATGTTCAGTGTTCATAAATGGTGACACAAAACATGTATGTCAACAAGTAATTCAAGGTGTTCTCTCGTGTGCCTTTTGTTGTTACCACAATTGTTAGTGCCGTCTGTTCGACTTGTTATTGTCGTCGTCGGTGCTGCTGTCTTGCTTGGTGTTGTTATAGTTGTTGTTACAAGTAAGTCTGTAACTGCAAATTTTGTTCTCCTTTATTGTTACGACAACTTCTACACACATCTCTGATATCGTCCAATGTTATGTCAAATTGCTCTGAATGCTTTTGTTGTTGTTACCATAGTTACCGAGCAGTGATGATAATGCTACGAATACGACTATCTGGTGTTAACTAATACTAGGCTTAATGCTGATGCTTATTTCGTGTTTTCTTCTGTTACCAAATCACACATTTTAACACTTTGTTTAGTTTTTTATAACTTTGTTAGGAATGTTGTTGATTCTTGTACAGTCACAGTCGACTGCATTAAATTTAATTCACTTTACTATGTCGCTAAACTTTTTTTTGCAAAATTTCAATGATCTCTTCCCAGGCTTGTTGTTGAAAGCATCCTATATATGCTAAGTAATAGCAAGTACGAAAACTATATTCGGCTGTGGGAAGCTTCTATATAATTGTAACAAGACAAAGACAAATATTAAATTTGAATACTTTATAATATTGAGTAGGTGTGGCTAACATTTCCAGTTTGTGCAGGCACTGTAGAACCATGTAAAGGACTGCTTTTGTGTAACCAAAGTATGTATCCCTACATGGTTGCCATGGTGGCCACAGGTTGGTGTGTCTATCACACTTAGTTTTATCTAACCACAGCATTACACCAATTATATTTAACTAATAAGTCTAAACAATCAGTGGTAATTCTATCTATGTCTTCTTGTATCTAAAGTTGTTATCTAAATTAATTTTAGGACAATGGAAGAATAGAGGCCTATGAGTCATGCGTACGTGCCGTAGCTGAACTCGTGATCTTGGTAGGATTTTATATTTTTGCTCACGGACACTCCTAGGACGGTTACAGCCAAAAGAAATTGCACATACTTGACCCTTATCAAATATGTGGATCGTATGTGCCCCTTGCACATTTCAATACCCATCCTACTTGAAATCCTGAGAACACCATTATAGTTGATTGTGCAGCCTTTTAAAACTTGAGATAAATAAGTACACTTCAGTCCGAGAATAGAACATTGAAGAATAAAAGCAAAAAGGTGGCAAGATGTGGTTACACATATCTGGACGTCAAGCTTACCTCCAGCACGCCACGAATCAATCTAATCTAAATGTGTCATAAAAGAGGCCGCAGACTTTGACGGCTGATTGTAAGCAAGCAAGAAAACTAAAGGTCGACTTTTACTTACAGGGCAACCATCTCTTCTGGCAAATAACGCTTCCAAGATTGCTCGTTGAGGATTTGTAATGAAGCCGGTCATTTGGGGCTTGAGCAGGCCGAGTTCAAAAATGTCAGATACAGAAGCAATATGTTTTACCCGAATTGTGACAAAGCATCGAAAAGTGGCAAGTTTTCTTGATTTAATCACACCCACATTTCCAGATGAAGATATTGCTTTCGCCTTAAAAATGTTTCATTCATTTATGTGCGGGAATCTGCCGAACATTTGATCTTCAAATGCAAACACTATGGCAACAACGGAAATCGTTTCATCTTTTTCCCATCCTTCGTAGAGGCGAAATCCAAATTCTTATTACTCAAAGAACAAGTTCCTTTTATTAAACGAACTAATATCGACATTTAATTTACTATTCTGATCTGTTTAATCAATCTGCTTTCAAATACATTTTATGTCCTCATTTCGCTTATAAAGTAAAAATATTTTTGTTTGTTTCGATTATATGAGAACACCTTGGTCGCAAGACTGAAAAAAACCAATCACTGCTAACTTTAACATAATAACCCTTGCATCATCAATTTTATACAAATAAGTTTCTCATTTCCTCCATGCAATATCGATGCGCTTTTGGAGCAAATTATTGCTTTTGGCAGTTCATTTCCACAATTCTGAAGGAAATAGTTTATATAATTTCAGTTAAAAAAAACAACTATAAATCATTTGTTATTGCTCTAGGAGGATTATCATCTTTTGAGTTTTGCCCATCGCTTACAAGAACGGTACCTGTTTGTGGTTCTTAAGCAATTTAAAGACGACGTAAAAATTGATATTGGAATGCAGTAAAGCTCGCAATCACCAGCACGTTTGGAAACCTTAAGGGCTTGACCGCAGTGCGCTTATATTCCCATGGGGAAGAAAATCATTTACGAATTTAGAACATTTTTTCATATTATCCGTCTGAGTGGGCGACAGCGAAGAATGTTGGCTAGCAACTCGATGGTTAGTTTACGTTTAATGTAAACCGATAAGGATATTGACTCGGAGAGTACCTTAAGTCCCATTTTATCTTTAACGACACATTACCAACAGAAACGTGTCATATTTTCATAAATAAATAATTATCACTTTTACTTAATGTTAGCTTACTATACCCTAAAATTTTCCTAAATTACCAACAGGGTCATTTCGGGACGACGAGTCTGCTTATGAGGATGACGTGTGCCTCTGCGAGTTCACGATACCTCTTTAAATCTGATTGTATTAACAGAACCCAGCGACATGTTCGTGGGTTCGAATACCAAGTGCAGTGTAGTTTTTAACAAAGGCAATTTTAATTGAACTTATTTTTTATTGTGCCATGAAACCCCTTTCATATGCAAAAATCTTTCCCAAACTAAAGATGCTTAGTGCTTTAAGACCTTAGTCGTAGAAATTATTTCTCTGGCTAAATTAACAATAATAATAATAATAATACTTGTATTTATATAACATTTTATATTTACAAAGCTACAAAAAGCCTAAGCCATTCGTTTTAGGCCTACGAATAAAATAGGAGCGCATGAAATGAGAAACAATTTCGCGAATACCGCTAAGGAGATCAACCATAATGCCCTTTATGCCTGTGAACGTCCGGTTCCCGATCCATGAATTTCACCATTACTTCGAACTGATTTTTGTTCATGATTTTGGTGCTGTAAATATATTTTAGGATTAGTTATTATTACAAACAATTACATTTTATTACTTACTCTCTTTATATTTAGCTTTCCCAAAAATTTCCCTTCATATTGGCTTTACGATTTTCGTTAGAGGCAGCTACTTCTCAAAAGCCGTAAAGTTTTATGGAAAATGATCGAAAATATATGCCGAAGTTGAATTGTGAACAGTGAAAATCACAACACAATAATTCAAACAAATGACACTACCGTAAATCAAGAAGGCAGATTGAAAACGAAAACATAATTTGGAGCAAAACTGTGAATCATAATACAGACCTCAGCCGTCACTTTTACTTTTCCGTCATTCAATACATTATAGAAGCGTTGAATGATGTCACCGTTATGCGTTTATTAATCACTTCTTATTGGAAATATTTTGTAGAAAATTTTCAATTGAAAACAGAGATGTTAAATTTTGCGCAGTTCACTAACCGCCTCCACAACTATGTCAATAAAACTTAGATCAAATGAATTTATGTCCACATCGCCAACGTCACAATGTTAAGTTTCCATTTATTAGATTAGGTATTGTATTTGCAAAGCTATTACTCAGATCATCTATTTTTTGTTTCAATTACTCAACTTGAAAATATGTTTAATATAAGAGCGTTTATACTATTTTTATACCCTACAACAATTGTGGTGCAAGATTACGTTAAGTTTGAAACGATGTGTGCAAAACTCAGAAGGACTTGAAATAAATCCAATTCTCATTATACTTGTCCGTCCGTCTGCCTATCCGCACACTCAACCTGCAGGTCGTAATTTTTGAAATATCTTGACGAAATTTAGTATACTGACGTCTTTTCCCAAGAATGAAAGCTACTGAAAATGGATTCAACCATTCCCCTTATAAAGCCTTATTTTCAAAGGTTGTTGTTTAATGGTGGGCCACATCTCACTACAGCATTTTCACTTGTGTTAAAACGTATTTTAATACAAACTTCTTGCATTTTTATAAATTTATTAATTTTATTTATTATCTCCTTATCGTCCGTTGTATTGCTTATGATTTCGTGCTTATGCATTATGTAGCATGGACCAACTTATTACAAACATGCTTTCTTTCTAAAAGTGCCAAACAAAAAAAGGGTTAATGTTTTGAAATATTGATAGAGATTTAACTAATTTCATTTTCAAAAAACAAAATTTCAAATTACAATGATCAAAGTGAAGATTCCCCTCTTTGGATCACTACTTCGAAGTATGATCACCATTTTTTAAATTTTGGGCCAATAAAAACGTTATTCGCTGTTGTAATATCATAAATAAATTTGTGTTATTTAACATGCGTGCGTATTTAATACGTGTATATGTGTTTAAAATTCGATTCAACTCTGTAAATTCATTCATTCACATTTATGGTGTTCGCATCTAATCATTTTATGATTAAAATAAGAGTTTAATATCATCATAAAGCACAAAGATAATCGATTCAGTTAACTTATTTCATAATTCGAGTTATAAACATATTTAATTTCTTAACTATTTTAATGCATTTTTCATTTTTTGTGCTTCTTCGGAAAAATATCGTAATTTTTACCCTTAGAATCAATTCAATCAATGCTCACCGAACTCGTAGAATTGCAATGGTGCTTTGTCATCGCGATCATCAAAATATTCGCTATCCTTATACCAGCATAAGCCCAGTTTGTTTGCAACAATAACTCTTTCCCAAAATTTAAGGTAACCACGCTTAAATAATTCATCTCGAACCTTAACGATCCAATCGTTGTAATCATAGGGGCTAAATGTGCAAGAATCCGATTTAACCATTTGTAGAAGTTTGGCAGCCTTCTCAAAGTTTTCTGGTGGTAGACTTGATTGATCAAATAAGAAATGCCAAATCTTCTCTCTAGCTTCGGCCAATATCTTTTTGAATCCTTCAGTATCATTGGCATTGATATTAGTTTGGACAAACATATTATGCTTATAATCTTCTAATGGACTTTCGCAGGATAAAGTTTTAAATTGATCAGCAAGAAAGTCGACGTTAGCGGGATTTGTTTCAATGACAGAAGCACCAGTTTCAGCTGGCGAGAGAGCTGTTTCCGATAATATTGGCGACAGACTCGGCGCATCATCAGGTATGGTCGACATTTCGTCTACTTCTTTCCAGCGAGCTTGACAACCAGCAAACTCATAAAACTTCGCAGCCTCTTCATTATCGTCTTCAAACAGATCTGAATCTCGGGAGCAACAGGGTCCAAGTTCTTTTCTAACAATTTCGTCACGCCAAACCAAAATCATTTGCCGTTTTAATAATTCATCGCGTATCTTAACAATCCATTCATTGTAAGGCCACGGATTAAAGAAGCCGGCATCCGCTTTGTGCTCACGTAGCAGATCAGAAGCCAACACTTGCTTCTCAATTGTGCAAGGGCCTTCAAAGAATAATTTCCAAACAGTTTCCCTTGCAGCCGAACTAATTTTTTCAAAGCAATTTTTTAAACCTTCGTCGGTAATCAAAGCGTCTGTTTTCATCCTATCATCCATCAGCCGTACATAATCTTCTACTGGCTTGTCGAGGCTTATTTTGGCTTCAAAATTTAGGAAGTCTTCTAAAGTCGGAACACTCATTTTTAATCCACGATTTTTTAAAACAGTAGTAAAAACAAACTTTTGTGAAACACTTCTTTAAATGAAATGAATGCCTTTTTCAATGTTATGAGTAATTTCACAATTCTGAGAACATAAATTAAAATTATTCTTGTTACTCATAAACAGTGTTGTATAACGTGTATGGAAAACAAATTCTTTTAAACGCTGTGAGTATAAGAGTAGACTACAAAGTTACGTACCAATGTAACTGTGATGAAACAAAGATTTTGTATGCTATACGTTTTTGTAAATCAGAAATACGATTTAAGTATTAATAATGAAATTGTCATTTTAACGTCAATATTTGATGGTGTTCCACTTACGCAGAGCCAAATTACACCTAGTCCATAATAGCCACTGCTACAAACTAGAGTTAGCCCATAATGAGCTATTAAAACTGATACGTAATCCTTAAAAGTTCTTCTCTATCGCACAATGTTTTTAACCACACTAATATCTTGGTCATACATAAAGTCAATAGATAAGTAATACAGTAATAGTTGTAATTAAAAATGAAATAGTTTTTTGCTTCAATAAATATAGGGTACATATATATATATGTAACATTTTGTAAATAGAAATTCATTATTAAACTGAAAAAGAAAAATTTTGAACTTTTAAATATATAATCATAAATTAAATAGAAATGCTAATAAATTAAATGAATACTGAGAATAAATATTTCCAATACTTACATTGTAACAAGTGGTCGCTCATTTACTTACTCTCTAAAGAACAAAATTCGAAGTTCAAATACATTGCAACAAGCAGTAATTCTGGCTCGCTCATTTACTTCTCCTTTAATTTGACCAAATTCGAAGTTCGCTCAATCGAATTACTTTGGAACGTAAGATCTTATTTTACTTACGATCATACCACATTCAATACCAACTTTTTCTTAATTTTTGAGCACCTTACAACACTGTTTTTGTTAATGAGAAACCTGTTGATTTCTGAGGTGTATTTTAAACTAGGGCGAAGCTTAAGTCTTCATTCAATGTTGAAACGGATAACAAGCAAACAAATAAGTTTTCGACTATTTGGGACACTATGTACGAAGCAGCTACCAGCATATGTTCATGCTTCTCTTTTGTTATTGTAAAATAAAGAGTGAAAAAATATGTCGCCATTGCTTGATAATTCAATTTTAAAATTTTGGCTTCTTGAACAAATGATTAGATAAATCACAAGTTATTGTAAAACCCCTTATTCCTTTGTTTTTATGTATAGAGTGATACAAAATATAATCTTAAATTAGATATCGTAAGAAACTTACTATTTAATATAATATAATCACACTTACCATCTGCAATATTACTACTAACCGCACTTGCATAAATTATGATCAAAATACCATCTACAATATTACTACTAACCATACTTACCATCTACAAAATTATATATATAAACAATTTCATTCATTTGTAGATAATTTTGTGGATTTTAGTTAAAACTGAATTCCACAACATTCCATTCATGAATTTCGTACTTGAAGAAAGGTTCGAAAAAGAAGAAGAAGAAATGGTGCTATATTTAAGCGATGTGATCGGACCGACTTTTGACGTTTTTTAAAAATGTATTCATATCTGCGGAAACAAAATGCTCTTTTACATTTATTTTTACGGTTGGGAGAGACGTCTAGGAAGGGGAAACGACGATTTCATCTACTTGCTCTCCTCATAGTGTGTAACAGTTCAAATATATCATAAGAAAAGGCATGGCTGCTTTCTTTTACAGTCCCTCTTCTATGAGATTATAAAGACTTTATTTATTACGTTTCTTCAGATTAATTTCACTATTGTGAACGATTACTCACCTATGCACGCGAACATCTTCACCTTGGTCTCATCACAGTGAATGACCGTTGTTTGTGAAATTGTTTGTCATTTGCTTGTGTTCGCAAGAATTTCATTTCACTTCCCTTTACGACAGCACGAAAAACACGATAACAACAAATCATCATGAATTCTGTGAATAAAACGCAACCACATAAAGTGTAAGTGCATGTATTTTTCTCTTTATTTATCAGTTTTAATATCAATTCATCATATTGCAGTTATAATGCAATTAATAAAGTGCAAAGTGAAATATTGTACAATTTCATGTCACAAAATCCTGATATAGCGAAGGGGTTTCATTACGCTTTCACAAAAGAGCGATACGTGAAATGCTGGCGTAATTTAGAAAAAGCACTTAATAAAAGTGGACCGCCTAGAAAAAGTATGTGCGAGTGGAAAAAGGTGAATTAGCATGCGGGGGAAATACTTACCAATTTATTCAATTTTTTCTTACTAATTTGCAGGTATGGTCAGATCAAAGGCGATATGTTACAAAGAAAGCGAAAAATAAGGGTTTAGCCGCTCTGTCGCCTTTAGAAGACATTATTTTTACAATGCTTCAGAATTTTAACAAATACCTAGATCAGGGAAGTGAAGAACCGATCACAAACAAAAAACAATCGACGGCGATCGTTAAGGATTGTGATAAGAGGCAAGCAGAATTGCCTCTATTGAGAGCTATAGAAGCTCCACCGAAACGTATTAAACTCGAAGTGGAGGAAAACAATACCGTCGAATATGGTAATAATTTATATAACATAACAGTACTTAATGAGGCTGAGATGTCCGACGATGAGCCAGATGAATTCGATCAAGAACAAGTTATTGTAAAGCATCCACCACCTGAATTGGACATGGAAAGTGATGCGGCGGACAATTGCGAGGAAAGTTCACGTGAAGTTCTACCCAACTCCTTATCTCCGGAAATTGAAGATCAGTCCGATTTAAATGATTTGCAACAGCAGTCCACTACTAATTCTAAGGAATTACCGCCAAGTGCAGCGTATCGTGAAACTTCCTCCTCCCGTGGACGTACAAGCAATCCTTATGAAAAAATTTATAATTGTTTAGAAAGATTATGTGACCTTAAAACAGAAGAATTGGTAGAACTTAAGCGGCATAATAGGGAAATGGAGAAATTTCGTAAAATAGAACTCAAATGCACGTTGCAAGCCAATCCAACTATTCAAGAATATAGAACGAAAAAATCACACCTTAATCATAGAAAGTAAAATTGCAGTTTTATAAGGTTTTTTAAATAAAATATTAAAAATAGACGAATCAATTTAACGGCAATCCTCGAAAATATAAAAAAAATAAGGTGAATCCAGATGTGTTCCATAAGATATACATGAATAAGATATAAGAGAATCAACGGAGAAGCGCGGGTAATCGAAAAATTCAATATGGCATTGCATGCATCGTGTTATATTGTTCCATATCCATTATGACATTTTTCAAAAAACTCAACAAAAAGTTGATGTTTAGAATGCGTTAGTCGTGGTCTGAAACGACTTCCTGTATAGTTACTGGCGCATACCGATGGTATAGTATTTGTTTGAGTTATCTAAAAATTTGTGACGAAAGATTGGACTTTCAAATATTGGAAGACTTACTCTGTTAAGCTCGTCACGTGGACAGAAAAGCAGATTTTATTAACTAAAACCCAGCTTTAACAACTTCGATATGAAGAATAAAAAGCGAATTACACTTTACTGTCATATCTTAAAATTACGTTTATGAGTCGTTGCCTTTAGGTAAAAAAAGGATAATTTTAGTAGATGCAAAATTGCATTCACTAACTGACTTAAAACAGTGAATAGATAAGATAAAATTTTCGCGCATTTTTATAATTTATCCCTGTTAATAGGATTGAGTTTTGTTACACCCCTGTCATTGTGATCATTCCTCTGTAATTCTTAGTTTTTTTTTTTTTTTGTAAGAATCAGATTTCTGGTGAGAGATCGCTTGAACTTCACTTTGCCCAAATACCGCGAAAGCTCCATAAATATGAGATTGTGCGAAAAATTCCTCTCCCCGCCATGAAAGTCAACTTTTTCATTATTAAAAACCATTTAAGTTTTCGTAGTATTATTGTAAATCTTTTTACTTATTTTCTCGTTTTGCCTCTTATCCATAATTAACTTTAAATATTTACTACTAAATAGACAAACTTTAGATCTTAATAGCTTACATTAAGAGGCCTCAAATCGCTTTTACGCACAAAAACGCACATAAGATATTAACAATTAAAAGATAAAAAGACTTAGATTGCGTATAGATGTGCGAGAAACTATGGTTAATTTGGAGAAGGGTTAGGTATGTTTTTGGTGTGAAAGGCGCATTGTAACCGCAACATTTACTTCCACCTATTATTTTGATAATCCCACTTGGAGGCTAACCCAGTCACTGGATTCATTTCCAAGTCAATCATACGTTTCAATTGAGCCTTTTTGTGTTCCTCATCGAAGGTGACGGGCATTTCATCGTACACTGGAAATTTAAAAATGAATAATAAGGTCAAGTCAATAACATTCTCTGCTTGCATACCGAACAAATTCATGAAGATGGCTACCCAAATAGCCATAGCAGTGAAAAGCAAGCCGACGCCAAAATGTTGCTTGAATTCACCGGTAGGCGCCTGTATTTCAGCGAATGTCTGACAGAAACTGGCTCGATATAAAGCTTTCTTTTCATCTATACTCATTTTTTTCCAATCACCTTTCTCCTTCTGACGCAAATTATTAATTTCATTGGTCGGTTCACGAAAACGTACGGCAGGCATTGGATAATCGGCACGATCATAATAACAAGCAGTGCCGTTCCAGCCGTAACCAACAATTTCACGTTTACCAATCTTGTCTAAAGTATGCACGGAAGCAACACTGCCAATTTGTGGACAGCGAACCACTTGAGCTGCTAGTTGACGGCGTAAAGCCATATCCAAGACACGCAGAGCCATATTTCGCTTGACAATTTATAACAATAAGCTGGAAAAAAAGCAACAAAAAAGAGTACATCTGTTAATACAATCAGTGTAAGCAAGGGGTAAGGGAGAAGATTTTCGTAAAGCGGTGCGCAAGAGAGCTACAGTGCTAGAGATTATGTAATCATTAATTTTATTGATTGTTTGACTTTTTGCCGATGATATAACTTCCACACACAATTTTCACATGTAATTTTTAAACTGAATAGTTAAAATTTCTAATATATCGGTTTTTCTAGAACTAAACAATTAGCATATACTATAAAAATTATACAATCATCGAAAAAATAACTATTATAAAATAGCTGCTTTTTAATGAGGAATTTTTGAAAAATCAAAAATATTGTAAACTGTCTTACAATATCCACAATTTTCTATCAATTTCTTTTAAAAATATACAACTTACAAGAAATTCCTAAATAAAATTTACTTATTCACTTACAGCAGCTGGTTGACAAAAAACTTCAGTTCTTAGTACTACCAACTCATCTCAAAAAACCCGGTTATCCTGCATATTGATAGGGATTATATCACTTTTTTAGGAATAAGGAAATATTATCACCAACATTTTCTCTCCCCTTGTTTTATTAGATTTCAATGTTGATTGCATTGAAAGTGTACACTCATATTATAGGCTTTTATATTTCTGTTAGATACAAGAGAAGCACTGAATATGCGTATATAGAGATTTTCACAAATATCTGCTCAAGTTTTTATTAACTTTTACCGGCTTTGGCAGTTTATACAGTTTTTTGTGTTGTAAAAAGATAGACACTACATCTTATAGAAGGAAAGGAATATAGGAGAAGGCAATTTCTAATTTAAAAATTATCCTGGATAAATAATTTGCAATAATTAATAAGAGAAACCAGTATTTTTATTTATTTTAACATCAATTTCATTATGTTTACTTTTCAAATTTTACGTTTTTATTGATTCCCCTACGTTTACTTTTAAAATATTATTTAATTACATTCATTTCCAATGATTTCTTTACATCTATGTGAATGTGGCCGCAACAGCATTTTGTTTCGCTTTTTATTTTCGTCTGGCAGCACTAAATTAGATACTTACTTGAATGAGAAATTTTTACTAGCATGCGATAAAATTTTGCTAGACGATACATCACCCTTCAAGAAGAAAAAGTCGCAAGCTCTATTATTTTTGTCGCAAAGTCTATTATTTTTGTCGCAAGCTCTATTATTTTCTATTTATTTTCTATTTATTTCTTCATATATTTTGTGCCCTTTAATAACTTTTCCGTCGTATATGACTGAGGGTGAACTATTCTCGTAGAAGAAAGTAAAGAACTTAAAAACTAATAAAAAAATGCTCTGTAACAATTGAAACAATTTTCAGAGACATATAGATGCTAACAATATAATTGATATGTTAACTTGCTGGAGCAATGTAGCGTAATACAGTCATAAGTGCTTATGCCATCTGTTGATTGATTTTTCACAACTTTTGAAAGATTGTGTTTACTTTCATTAGAGAACTGCATGCGTGCATGTTTACCATGAATTACTTGGTTGATCAGACTTTTCCGGCTTCTGGCATATTCCTTTTGAGGCCATGCTTACGAAAAAAAATCCTTTAAAAATTGTAGCAAAATGTAAACTTTGTATGGAAGAAAGCAATCATTTGGGGCACATAAAGAAGTGATTGAATCAAAGAAGGAGTCAACACTAAATTCCAATTTCAAACCCCATGAAACTCGTGGAAATTATTGAATGATACTTGATAATAGGATAATATTTCTACGTCAATAAACGATGTCATTGACTTGAAGTAGACCCAATTTTTATTATGTAGATCGATTCAGAATTACTTCATGAATCTTCTTTGTCCTTCTGTCCGTGTTTAACTTATAGCTCGAAATTTTTGGGATATTTTGCTGCAATTATATTTTGGTTCAAGAATGAATGCAATTAAGAATGGTTCGGATCGGACCACTTTGTCGACCAATTCTCTTATAAAGCTTTATTTTTAGAAAAAGTTGCATGAATAATTTCAGAATGGTGTAGGGTATTCACTTTAGTGATTTTACTTGTTTATAATGTTGTTATTATTGTAATTTATTTAGGTTAAAGAGATAAATCGTAGGGCTAGAAGCACGAAGACTACTGGACCATGATTATCGACTCTCCGTGTTCTCATAATACTTTTTAATTGTAAGGCACCAATAGATTCGAAGCCTTAAAGATAATTATTTCCATAAAATATTTAAAGTTCTATGCGTCAATGAGTTTAGGGATGGGTATAGGTTCATTAATTTACATCGAATAACTGTTTTTCGTAACACCTCTTTAGTTTTGTTATGTTATTACGTCAATGCACATTTTGAATAAAAAAAAAATTTGCTTTTTATTGGTATAAATGATACGAAAAGGCCATTACGGGCGTGACATAATTTTCAAAAATTCGATTGCGCGAACCTCGACTTCTCAAAACGATATTTAGTGTAATTCCAACAATTTTCATTCTTTCGGACTTTCACCAATCTGAGCTGAATCTAAGACATCCGGGAAGTCAATTTAAACATTGTTCATGGCTTGTTTTGTTTGGCCAATCACACAAAAATCAGAATTTAAAAAAATTCCCTAGCATATCTTTGGCTACAGGTATATATGCTAAGCGATTTTTTTAAGTAGAAAAAATGTTGTTGATTTTTTCTCTAGCGAAATCACTTTCTGCGTTTTCCTTTCCACTGTTACGAAATTAGTTTCAACGACTTTCGTTCCTCCTTATTCCCTTTTTCTAGATCCGCATCGTTAGAAGGAAAGAGAAAGAAAACGCAAATTCGAAAACTCGGTTGAAACAGGTTTAATCAAATGATGATAGTGAAAATTTATTTTCTTAATTGGACGACACCACAGTATCTTCTCTATATATATTTTATGTAGATAAGTTTTCTCTTACAGTATCTTGTTTCCATCGTATCGACTTTTCAATGAACTCACTTAGTCCCAAGAAGAAAAACGTAATCAGTTTTGATTATTTGTCAATCAAATTCCATTTTTTTACTTCCCTACACACGATCAGTCAATGTATAAATCGAAATTAGTTGATTTATCTTCATTTTCTATCGTGTGTCTGGCTTCTTTGTTGTGATCATCTTCATTTCAAGCTTTATGCAAGTTTACTCCGTAAGCAACTCAAATATCCATAATAATTGAGACATTTTATAATTTTTGATATTGAAAAAATTTTATTGCCTTTTTATTAGCAGTTGATTTTTGTTGTTGTATTTCATGTTTTCTTTTGCTTTAGTTATTTTGTTTTTCTCTTGATCTTATGAGTAAGGATTTTTAGTACTTTGTTTTTGTTTTGATTTTGCACCTCAATCGTATAAATTTCGCATGAGATATTTTTTATATGAATACAAATACGATAATAATTTATTTCAATTTTTTTTGTTTTTTTTTTCTCTTTTCCGAATTTTGATTCACACAATAATACATAATAAGCTAAGCGAAAAATGCATATATAAAAATACAAAATTAAAAAACAAAAATAAAAAATAAAAGAATTGCTTTTAACATAAATTAAATATTTTAGATAATATTTATATGTATATACGTAGAATTAAAATTTAAAACTAAAAAACATTAACAAGCACACTTCTAAATATATAAAGTTTTAAAACATATTTATATTGTTGTTTTTTTTTTTTATTTTCTTAATTTCTTTCTTTTTAAATAAAATTAGCTATAATAGTTGTTTACTGTTACTTTTACGTATATTGCAGTTTTTTAATATGAATGAATGAAGGATGCCTTTATGAACATTTTTGTTTTTTTTTCTTTTTTTTTTTTTATATTACTATTGGTACGCGTATATAAGTAAATATATATAATGTACATATGTATGTATGTAATATAAATACATATTTTTTCTTGATATTCGTTTGTAGCAAAAGTTAAAGGTTATTTTCAGTTTTTCTTTCTTTTTCTTGTTTTCTTTCTTGCAGTATAGTATATAAAAAGTGAGGTTAGAATTTGTTTTTATCGACTTAAGGAGAGTTTAGTAGGAAAATTTCTTACTATTAAATTTTTTTTAAACAAGCATTTCAGTTTTTACTATAAGGGTTTTATGTTTCATGTTTTAAATTAATTAAATGCTTTACTACTTATAATTAATGTTAGATAGTTTAATTTGGCTTAGTTTTACATATTTATTATTAGGTCTTTTTCACATTTAATATATTTACAGTTTATACAAACAAATTTCACGAAATCGAAAAGGAAAACTAGAAAACGAATAAATGAGAAAGAGACAAAAAGCAAAATAAGAGCAAAATAAAAATATAACGTGTATATGTTAGTGACATATACATGAATGGATATGCACGATATAATTTGTGAGTATACAAAGATTGATCAAGAAAGAGGGAGGTATTTAAATTTCTCTGTCAATCCTACCTCTGTTGCAATTTGGCCAAATGTCTGTCACATGGAAGGGGGCTACTTCATGAAAAGAAATTCCTTTGGATTTAGCAGAAAGAAATGGGTTCTTTTTTGTTTCGCTGTTTTAATCCTCCAATTACTCAGGGCATGTCCCTTATTAGCCTTTACTACAGCTACGATCACGGTAAAGTCTTTACCGCACTTGAGTTTTGCACCCGCGAGCACTGCCTAGTAGACATCGATGATTCATTTTAAAAATATATTTACATATAAATAAAAAAGAACACAAAATAAAGTACGTTAGTTCATGAAGACTAGATGAGGCTTTAGTGCAGATATCAAAGCCTACGATGGAGTCATGCTGATCCTTCTCGTTTCTTGGTATACCTTATGCCACTTTTGGTACAAGGATATATTAAGTTTGTGTGCATGCAACCCAGAAGGATCCACCTTTTATTATGCCGATCGATTCAGAAAGTGTTTCGATCTAACTTTGCCCATCTGTCAATTTGTCTTGCTTTTTTATGTTCAACATAAAAGCCGTAATATTTGGGATATTGCAATATTTAGTACATGAACAAGTTTTGGCCCAAGGATAAGCGCTATTGAAAATTTTTCAGATTGGACCACTTTTTCGAACACTCGCTATATAAAGCTTTATTTGAAACAGAGGATCAGTATACATTGCACAGACGTCTGAAATTTTGTGATATCTAATATCTGATTAGGAATAGTTCACAAGAGTAGCCATAATGTAATTGTATATGTATATTAGAAAACCTATAACAGTTGGAAATCCAATGTTTCCACTAATTGTTATTATATTATAGCGTATATAAAATAATTGGCTACAAAATGAAGATGCTACAGCAGTTATGTCATTTGGTCGTAGCTAAAGTGAGTGCTTACTCGGCGAAGCGATTATGTTTGACCGATTGGGGACACACCCATTAGGCTGTGACCGCCACCATCTCCCTACTTCCTTCTATTTCTTTACTTCTTAATGGCCGTTATCGTGTTAAACGGATAGGAGACATCCCCCGAGCGAATGATCACAATTCATTTCTGCTTCTTCAAGATTTGCACAAAAGAACAACACATTATTCTTTGTGCTGAGTATAAAACGAAACCAAAACGAGTGCTATAGCGTTAACATGCCTCAAAGTCTTGAATATGGCCGGTTTAGAAGCGCAGGGGGGCACTATAAACTCGACAAGCTGTCTTATTTCCGGGTGAGGATTTGATGGACAGGTCGAAGCGTTTCGGCCAATGACGTTTAAGACTTTGCCTCTCTTGATCAAACTGCTCATAGATTGTGTATTATATGTGTACATAATTTGCATAGCACATATATTATACATGTTCGACTATGTTATTATAATACATATTCTTTTTATAAAATTTTATGTCTCATATATCATTTATATAATTATATTTATATATATATATATATATATATATATAAAATTTTGTTGGTGAGATTTTTGAAAAAAAAACCCAGCTTTTATATTAAAAGCATCTAAGGAATACGTTGACATACTTATGCCACTTCATATTTAAAGAAAATTGTTTAGCTAAGGTTTCATTATTCATTTTTTTTCCTTTTTTCAAGACAGAAATCAATTGTTAGCTTTCCGTTTTGCTTATGTGGCTTCGAGTGTAAATTTGCATATTTAACAAGTGCCGCTAAAAGGTGCAATTTAGTTAACCAATTTCATTTCCCGAATTTACTTAGTCTACCACTTTCCTCTACTTTGCTAATAAGTTAATCTCAAAGAAAGTAGTGTAAGCAAATTTTTCATTTAATTTTTTATGGAAGTTTTTGAAATTTTCATTCTTCTTCATCTTCTTCTTTTTATATGCGCATACTTCATTTATCCGCAAGCTTAACAATTTTCTTTAAGATTTTCAAAAAAAAAAAGGCGAAAAACAAAAAGCAGGGTTGTATTTCCTTTTCAACATTGTCTCGTATTATTTAGCCTAATCTTCATTCCCTAAATGAAATTTTTATTTAATTAAAAATTTAATTAGTCTCAGAGATGCTTCCAAATTTAGAGTCGCTTTTTTGAAATTCAAGCTCGCTCATTTAATTACTCTCAGATGCTTCCAAATTCAGAGTCGCTTTTTCAAAAAACTCTCTTACGCTGTACATACACATGATTTAAAAAGAGAATATATATATGCATATATATATGGAATATTGTATCTTTCTTTCTCAGTGTGTACACATTCTCCCTCTATATATATGTTAAGCATATAATGTATCTTTATCTATGTAGGTATGTAGAGAATTTGTATTGTATATAAACTTTGGGGAAAGCTGTAATTAAATTATTTGCATTATCTTATGAATACGGAGTACGTAAGGAGTATGAAAATACATGACATTTATTCGGCACCAGCTGAGCTATCTGGTGTTACGTTCGAATCTAAACTAGCACAGTCACTTTCGGGATCCTGGTTCTCGGAATAATTGGCAGCTTCTTGCAAGCGCATAAGCATATTTAACTGAAAATAATATGTGACTTAAGAAAAGTTATAAAACTCATTAGATCAGAAGATTGACTTACCAAAGGATCTTGATTTTCCCCATTGCTGGCCGCTACTCCTTCGAGGCCAACATCCTCTGCATTAATTTGTCTTAAAGGTGGCACTGAATCAGGTCCATAAGGCCAGGGATAAGAGTTCCTAATAAAAGCAGAAGGATCATTCCAGGCTCCACCTCGACGTCCGTAGAGTTGCACTCCCTCTCTTACGGCCTCTATAAGATATGGCGACAAATGATAATTCCATATATCCGTGAACCAAACCTGCGACTCTTTAAGATCTAATGGGCAGCTTAAGAATAAACGAGGACCGATTGTAACATCACTTGAACTATGTGCTTCCAAAAATCGATTAATATGCTGCCATACGCCAGGCAACCAAGCTAAGACCGTTCCCAATTCAGGTTGTGAATGTTGTGTTTGTAATTCTAATTGGAAAAGTCTTCTCCTTAAAAAACGCCCTAAAAATCCTTTCACTGGTTCCATATGATTAGCTGTTAAAACCTAAATTTGCATTGGTAGTGCTTTAAACAAATTTTTCGATTCTTTCCTTTAGCGCTACTTACCCAACGGAAATTGTGATGCAATTGTAAGTTGGTAGTATTACAGGTGGCTTGGGACATTGTGCCAATTATGCAAGGTAGTTTAGCAGCCGGGCCTGCGCTTAACAGGCAAGAGAACACATCTCCCAATGCTGAAGCATGATGCAGATTGTCCAGTATAATCACAGATGGCAATTCAGAAGCTCCATTTGCTATAGCCGCTTGTTCAGCTATATGGCCTAAATATTGACGCAATTCTTTGGAGGATTTGTGATCCACGCTTTAAACGAGCAAAAGAGGAAAGAAATTGAATCATGGTAAGAGAGGTTTCGTTTCATACAATAAAAAGATTGTAGTTCAAGGAATTATAAAATTGCGGTTAATCCAATTTTTGTGCACAACGCGTCAATTATAAAAAAGGGAACGTTTAGGATAAAGGCAAGCCGTTATACAGCCAGTAGTAAGACCTTCGGTCTGATCCATTGCAAACGTAGATATTTAATAAAACAAATTTTTTTTTTGGAAAGCCATATATATTTACGTAACCATGTTGAATGGTATCAAGAAGGCGTGGAAGAATCAACATTTAGCTTTTGTCGTCCTTTTTAAGACTAACGAGGTGGGTATAAAAGATTCGGTCACAGTCGGCTATTATTTTTTTTACTTTATATCCCATTTTGTTTGACTTACTTGAACGTTGCTATAGCTTCTGACGGATTGCCACGGCCCGATCGCGCTACTAGAAACTCAGCTAAACGTCTAGCTAAATATGATTTGCCAGTGCCACTAGGTCCACACAAAATCAAACGTCTGTGTTCGGTTAATAAACTTATATACCGATGCACTATACTCCTCGGAATTAGGCTATCGAAGGCCAAACTCCCAACACCTTGCAAACATATGTACAAGGTGCGTACATTGCCTACTATGTAACCGCAAGGAAGCAGCTCGGGAAAACCCATTTCTGGGCCACGTTTCGCCTCTCCTAGATGGTATGATGTAATGGAATCCGTGTTCAAACCCAAATTGGTTCCGGGATCTATACGCGATACGTAATCCTTGAAAGTTTTGCGCACAATGTAATCTAAATTCTGCCATGTTGTCTTGCCAGAAATGTACGTATATGCGATAACAAATTCATTGGGACTGGCCATTGAAAATGCTTTACGTTCTCCATTCTCATCTCGTGCGTTCGCTACTATAGATCCGTTCGCATAAAATTCATCAACTTCCAATAGCTCCTCGCAGTACTTATTGAAAGATTCAGGCTGGCCTAAGTAAACAGCAATGGCAATCTTTTTACCATCATTAATGTCAGACATTTCCTCTGAGGTGGTTGGCATATGAGCCGGACTGGGGATGGGTTCGAGAGCGGGTGGTGGCGGGGTTAAGTCGATATGCGTGGATGGTGAAAGAGGAGGTGGTGGTTCTGGTGCTGGAGCAGGTGGTATATTTTCTTCCTCAACCTCTTCTTCTAAACGTTTGGGTAGTTCCATAGGAGGCCTGGTGCTTCCGTCAGCCAAGGAATATCTTCGCGACTCTCCTATAGATCCGTTGGGACTTATGGCATTGCCTAGAGAAGCTTCTGAACCAGCTAACGAACGACTGGTTACCAATTTTTGTAATCGCTCATTATTCTGCTTCAGGGACATCATTTCTGCACGCATTTTATTTACAGTTTCTTTCAAACTCTCCAATTGGGAGGCTGAACTTAACGCCTCTAAACGTATATCAGTTAAAACTAAATCCTTTTCTCGCAATTGTTTCTTGAGATCTTCAACTACATGAACATTGTCCTCATGATCTATGGCATCTATAGGTTTAGCATTATCAATAAGGGTTACTGTTTTAGTGGCATTAGAGTGCTTTGTTGGCGATCCTAAAGGAGCAGGCTGTGTAGCCAATGCTGCTAAGCCTGGTGGTTCAGCATTAATTTGGCGGTTGCTTCTGTGTAGGCCAGGAGAATTAGTCAAGCTTTCACTGTTATTGGCATTATTGGAACTTGTATTGTGATGATGATGCTGGCCAACATGGCGACTAGTTTTTGATATTTTGGCATTACGTGAAAAAGCTTTAGTGAAAGAACTTCTTAGCCAGCCTTTCTTTTTCTTTTTATCTTGTGTCGAACAACCCGAACTAATCGAGTTTACTGAACACATTGAGTCTGAGCTGTGATGTCGTTGCATCGAACCCGAGTTGCCATTGCTTCCTCCCAGTTGTTGTTGTTGTTGATGTTGAGCAGCTCGTGATATATGCTGATTGGAGGGCACAGATGATGGTGGCAGTGGTGGTGGTTTGTTGCCCAATAAATCGTTTTGTGTCTGACTTTGTGTCTGCACGCCCATACTTTGCATGTGAGCAGTCGTTAGACCTGCCTGTATCGATTGTTTGCGCAACAATTCAATTGTCTGACGCATGTCCGTCAGCTCACCATCTTTGCGTTCGGCAGTGGCGGTCAACTGTTGCAGTCGTGTTGTCATATTGGAAAGTGATTGCTCGAAAGCCGCCACTACGTGGGCCTATAAAGATAAGAATTGAAAAGCGAAATGTAAAAATTTTGAAGACTTATTTCAAACAAAATTTTCAAATTTAAATTCCAGTTCTATATGAATGATTTAAACTGTTTTAAGAAGGCTCATCGCATACACACACACACGCACACATGCAAAACTCTTTGAAGTAAAAATTTTATAAAATTATACCGCATCACGCACATGTGGCCTCTTTGCTGCTATTATTTCCATACGTATGTCAGAGCTTGATAGTTTTCCTTGCCAAGGTCTTCAAGCTACTTTATATATATTCAGTTTTTTCCTTTCCCATATTTCTTTACTTTCTTGCTTTAATGTAACTCATGATATGCCTGCGGAGTTGGTCTGTCGTTTTAGATTCTTTTCGTACTTTAATTATGCATGCGGCACCTGCTGCTGCTGTTTTTAGCATTACATTCCCGGTTGGTTGGAAATGCATACTTTAAATTTTATTTGGTCTCTTCCGCTAACTTTCATGCAAACAATCATCTCGTTGTCAAGCAAACTTTAAATAATGTAAATGCGAAAAAGAAAATTACAATACACGAAATTATGTTGAATTGCAAAGTAAAATTTTGCTGTTACTTTTTGCTGTAGTTATGATTATGAAAAGGTAGAAAGTTCTTCAAGTTCTCGAGTACTTTGTACAAGAATGTTATGTACTATGTCAGGGTGTGTGTAGATTATTATTTATTAATAATTGTTGCAGAGTTCACATAAACACGGTGAAAGAGAAAGAGCAACAATACAATACTGAGTTTTTTTAAAAATACCTTTCGAACAAAAGTTCAGATCTTTTTTACTACGCGTAATGGTGTATAGGTCTCTTATATTCTATTCTCGTTTAATGCTAGGTCCTTTAGATAAGCGAATTAAGTAAATTCCAATATTTAAGAAACGTTATATCGGAGAATCATGATCGAATTTTTCACTTATTTATGTTATAGTAAAACGTGTCACCCCTTTCGCGAATCGTTTGGTATATCTGTCAGCGTCTGAAGAAGCAGCTGGAATGGGAACATCGGCAGACGGAGGTGCGATCGCACGTGGGTCGTTTCTTGTTTCAAGCGAGATCTCGAGAAAAACAATGTTTAAAGGAAAGGAAACAAAGAAAATGCCCAATAAAGCACAAATCCGTCAGGTAAGAATAAGTGCCTGGAGGATGAACCATTGTGCATATATTTGAATCCACTACCAAGACTTTGTGCGCAATGGATGATGTGTATTACCATTAGGATTCATTCAAACTAGAGAAATGAATTCTACAACGGAAAAGTAAGGTGAAATCATGGCTCTTTTTTAGAGTAAGTACCTAGTGTAGTCGCTTTAATAAAGTTAAACATTTTATTGATATTAAGTTTTCCAGGTATTTTCAAGAAATCCATAAACTTAGATGCTCCAAATGCTTCAGTCGACGACGTTGCCGATACGCAAGACCGGACAACTGTCTAACTGTGTAATTTTCAGTTCATATCGTTAGTAATAGCGACAAATATTCCATCATACATAAACACTTTGGTCATTGGGTTGTTCTGGGTTCTTTAAGAGTCAACGGAATTGTCCCAGTAGGTGAGACAGTCCCTTTAAGCTAGGGGCAACACTACATCTGGAGGGCTACATCGGATTAGAGTGGAAACTGCTGGAAGTCTATCTGCGTATCATTATTTATAGCTCCCGTGTCTTTGTATTACCACAGCTATCGTATACGACGTTGGGAGAGTGGGCATCCCGACACGTGTGACGGTTTCACTGTTCGAAAGCAAAGAATGGGATACAAAACTGAAATTTGATCAATGGCAGGTCAAACGATAGTGTTATAATAATTCCCATTGATATGCTCATTATTGTGGAAAACTGTTCAGCTATTAGGCAGTGAATTCGCACAAATAACTCAATCAATAATTTATTTATCCGAATCGGTTAATTATTGAATGAAAAAGTTGGTTCTAAGTGATACAAGTAATTTTTTACTCCTTGGTATGCGAAATAACGCTGGGCTTAGGGTAAGGTATTTTTGTTTTTTCGTAAAAATTCTTTGCCTTTCTTGTTTAGCAACCATCAAACTGTGATATTTACTGTGCATGTGGAAATAAAATTAAAAAAGGAACTAAAGCCTAATTTGCTTTCTATCAGGACGTTAAAACGCCTTTTATACTATTTTCCATCAGTGAAAGAAGTTTGTATGTGTAACAGTTTAAACTTCTTTGGATGCAGCTATCTTATGCCAGTAAAAAATGTTGCGGGCATCTAACCCAAGCACTGCCAATACAGTCCCAATAGCCTTCACGTTGTGGTTTCAAATCGAAATATCTGGTCGCAATAAAATCTGTGTTATGCATGCACAAAAGCTATAAAAGGTTAGGTTGCCGTGGAGCAAAGCATAACAGTAAGGCATACAACGTGAAGAAGCTATAGAAAGTTTAAATGTCGGGGGGAAAAAGGCGTTTTTTTTTTTTTTTGAGCTGTTTATAGGAATCGCTATTTTAACTGAAGGGCTAAAAACGCCATGTCGTCGGTACAATCGAATTTTGCGTTTAGTTACGACGTTCTACCTGATGCGTTAAACAAACAAACAAAATGCCATCACGATTTGATTTGAAGATTCTTAAAGCACAACCATTTACAAAACGTATAATGCATCGCATATTGTGTGCAGTCTGTGTGCATTAATGTCTGCAGACAGAAATACAGATTGAAAATAATGCTCTAGTTTTATGGAAATATGGTTGCATGGAAATACGGTTTGTAGGTTGGGAAAGCATGCAAAGTTGCACAACAAGGCAAGTTAAATTTAATGTAAAATTTTATGTCGGCATGAAATCATAAGTTAGTCAAGTACATATGTGCATTAGAAGCTAATGTAGCGAATCTTGTAAAGTATAATTTTCTAATGAGCGGACCATTAATTATCATTTTTTTTTCTTTAATTTTTTAAAAGATTAGGTATAATTAAGCGGAAAGTAAAAAGTTATGTTTAACTTAAGACGAATCTTTAATGTTCGCTCTATCGTAGCGAAAGATTCAAGTAAAAAAACATTCTTAAAAGTAGGCGTGTCATTTCATTGGTGAAGACGCATAAGGTTTACACGGTCTTAGGAGATATTTGCTTTCTGTTATAAGCCTTTAGATTTGGCTTCTTGTTGACAGGGGATATTTTAGCTAGTCCTAGGAAATGTTTGAAGTACGTTTAAGATCTGTGTCATAAGCTGTAAGTTATAGTTTTTCTGCCTATTATAGACGAAATAGTAGATCACGCTCAATTTCAAATTTGGTCTGGAGCCGCGTACCAGCGGTATGTGTGCGTTAACCTTTTGAGATTTGTGCCATTTTTTGCGAGTGGGAAGGAACAAAACAGCAAACTTCCTAAAGATGGACAGAGAGACATGGCTAAATTGACTGTAAATTTTACGCTAATCAAGAAGTACACTCTTTATGGTGTCTCAAATGTGCCTCTCTTTCTTCCTGATTGCTAGCAGACCTCAACAAATACTCACGATAAGCAATTACGTACAAGAAGAAGACGAAGCAAAACTATGAAACGAACGGAGCAGGTAATCTATCTTTGGGGTGATAAATTGTTTGTAATATGTATGCATGCGCGTGCATTCATTCAAATATATTTGTCTATGTCGTAAAAATATATTATCTCATTATGTTCCCTACCTCTGCATCATACAATGCACGCGTACAATGAAAAATGTTTATCAGCCTTTTAATTATCACGGTATTAATATATTAATTGTTTGGTTACCTACTTCTCATAAACTGCAAATCACGCATACATAACTAATAGACGAGAAAGATTGCGCTTTGGTGAAATGTATTCGCAATATAAGGATAAGAGTTTGCTTATGACGAATTGTATAAAAACAAATCACTCAATAAGCTTGTAGGGTGACATATATATGTGCGATGGTTATTGACGAATCCATATAGGATATGCTGGGCACGAAATTCAGATTCTTTCGTTGTGGCACAAAAACAAAAATAGCGTCTCCAAGACAACAGGAACTTGTAACCCAGTGGTCGAAAAGTTGGTACTGCATTCGTCACTTGTGGGGATATTGATATCTGTAGAGTGGAGTAAGGTGTTTAACGATGGGCCGTCGCCCACCATACTATTTTTACTTGTTTTATTTTAAATAATTTTCTACTATATTTTTTTTTTTATATCAAAGACGACCAGAGGCGCGTGCAAGTTTTTGCAAGAGCCATGCAAGCTCAGTCTTCAATACAAACTGAGTGAAAATTGTAAATAATATAAAGCTTTTGACACATACACCTAACTAATGGAAAGAAGATATGCAGCTCTAAGAAACGCATATGCTTATCGGTTGTTTATGCTATCGATAATGATCTCTTCTTTCTTACTATTATGTAAATTCGTATTCGTCACTATCTACAAAGTTTTATTTCGTTTATTACTTCTTACTTTTTATACATTAAACTAGTCAGGCCTATTAAATATTAATGCCAAGGAGAGAACAATGGTTTTCTAAGAACGTGAATCATTGCATAAAATGAAATTTCCATAAAAATTATAAGATTAGCCTACAATTTTCTGAGAACCCAATCATAAATAAGCTTTCCGTATAAAAATTTCAATTGAAATTAAGAATTACATTAACCGTCAGTTAAATAATTATACAACTTTAGTGTTATTTTTTTTATTTTATGACTATATGTACTTTCTTTCAGACGTAATTTAAAACGACATTTCCCTTTTACACACTTGTTAACTCGGATTCGTAGATAAAGTTGACATTGAAATTTAAATTGCTTACTTGAGTTTTTAGTGGAACGAGTTCGGAACTTGAATAGTAACAAAATAAAAACAAGTAAAAACCTTATAGTAGGCCACGGTTCATCATCAAGTACCCTGCACTATACCACATTTATTCATATAGACGTTATATGGGAAGTGGTCAGACCCATTTTCAATAATGTCCGCCCTTGAGTCAAAATAAATCCGTCAAAATACCTCTAAC